AAAAAAAATATATTTCAGTAAAATCAAATTTCCTTAACAAAAGCAGATAAATAAAATTTTTGCCTTTTCTGAACTATGAAAAACATTTTTGAGGGGGTTTAAATTTAATTTAAAGTTGTACTCAGCACTTCCATAAATTTAATTGACAGGATTTTTAGACCCTTTGCTGATAAATTAAGTTTGAAATATGTCCAATAAGGAGATAAGTAGCATTTTATACCTCCATGGTTGTAGTGGATCTGTAGCTTGTTTGCATTGCCTTCCGATCACAGGGTCCTGGGTTAAAATCTTGTGAGAGCACAATTGACATGTCGACAAGGACAAGGAAGCCCCACCCACAAAGTCACAAAAACCTTAGACAATGGCGGCTAGATTTACCGAGTTGGCGAACATTTTCTTTGCTATCAACCTTCTTAAGAGAATTCATGGTAGGCGGTATGCAAATGAATCATATTCATAGTGTTAATCTATTTCATGGAACAGGCGGGGAAATTGTTGTAAAAACCTCTGTATTTCTCGTTGGCGGCAAAGGCCAAGTCACTGATGCGCACTGCTCGTGTAAATCTGGGTATCTATGCTATAACCGAAGAGTATCTCGGCCTAGGCTCACGTATGTTTCGCATTGACAACCGGCTGTCTAAGGAAATTAAAATGTCCAAGAAAAAGGGGAAAAAATGACTAAATGACGCTCGCTGATTAGTCGGTTTATCTGTCAATCAAATCTAGTTGAGATGTTAATTGAGGAAAACATCCACTTTCCCAGCTGGTCCATGTAGTTACTTCTTTTTTACATATAGATCAATGTGTATAAGAGACAGCTTCCAACCCACTTGTCAAAGTTAAAAAAAAAAGAAAACGAAAAAATTGAGGTTATTTTAAAATTTAGCGGGGAGGTTAAAACACAAATTTAGCGGGGAATTCCCTCAGACCCCAAGGGTGGTGTTATCTTGATCAGCCTATTTTGGCCGCCTTTCGGACATCTCTGGACCCGTCCAGGTGTAGATCCACTAATTATGTCCCTCCTTCAAATCCAAAATTCAAAAAAAGGTATTTAAAAGAGCTCTTTAACTGTACAGTCTTAGTCTACAGTATAGATTTTACACTGCACTACCTGTCTGTGTTAACATTGAACAAGTATAGTCATAAACTAGAAATTGCAACTTGCAAGTGAAGTGCTGCGAAGTACAACTGCATAAAATGTTCTTCGAACAAAATTATTTATGCGAGTCAAGTGAAAATAATGAATAATAAAAATATAACAAATAATATGAATATATTATTAGAACAGCGTTGGTACAATAGTGTTTTGCTGCAGTGACATCTCTCTGCTGGCGATGGCTCGCTGCTGCTGGCGATGGCTCGCTGCTGCTGGCGATGACTCGCTGCTGGCGAATCGATCTGCGCATGTGTATAATATGGTATTTATTTCCGCAAACACTATGCCAGTCTACAACAAGCGTCGCCTAAATGTAATAATTAGCACGTTGAAATAGGCTAGTAAATAAGTTTAACTGGGTTCGTAAATAATAGTGTCCTCAAAATATTGTGGCTGAGACATGAGCCGATTAAACGTAGAAATAGGAACCTAGAAATATAGTAAAAACGCTGAATAGTAATCCAGCGCCGCGACATGCCGACGTTGGTACGAGTAGGTTAGTCTACAAACGTCACCTAAAGTAATTGATTTTACCCGGCAGAACGAAAGAAGGAAACTCCGCTTTTCAGTTGTCTCAGGCGATTGATTTTTGACAAACAATGACCTTTCAGAGGTCAAATTGCTGTCAAGAATATGAATTGGCTGCTTTGCAGCAAAAATTTCTTCTATAAAACAACACCATAAACCAAGTCTCCAGTATTTACCTGGCATTCAAAGAGGTGCATGTCCTTATTTTTTTTTTTCTGTGATTACATTCTAATTTAATGATATCTGTTTTTGATTAAATATATCCCCACAGTCTTAAAAACCTTAGCTATTAGCTGTTTGACATTCAGCAATATTATCGTCAGCTTTATTTCTTGTCATATCACCATTCCTTAGAGGCTTTTCTTTGCCTCTGTATTGGAATACTTTTAATGACTTTGTGTTGATGGTATTTGCTATGTCCAGGATATTGCTGAACCTCAGTGTGCCAGGCATCTATGATAATACTTTCTTGATGATACTTCCCTGTCTTCTAGTGGCATGACAAATGTGTACCTTAAGCAAAACTATTGAAGCCACCACCTATAATTGGAGTGGAAATATCTGTGTTCTATACATCCCCATTAACCTGTTTAACACATGGAGTCCTTCAGGGGTCTACCTTAGTCCCTTTACTTTTTTTAATCTATGTTAACAATCTTTCTTACACTAGTGCTAAATTAAATTTCATTTCCTTTGCTGATGACCTACTAGAATTATTAACCATTAATTGAATACAGTTAGTAGCTGGTTTATTGCAAATAAACTTTTTATTAATACAACTACAGTATAACTAATTATTTTAGTATTATTTTGAAGCAACCTAAAAAAAGTATAATCCCAATGATATTTGAATTTTGTGGTAGCCACTGTGTGTGCGCTGAACCACGGAGATCTCTAGGTCCCCGGGTTCAATTCCCATCGCTGCCTCTCCTTGTGTTTCAGCTAGAGGGCTGAAATACAAGTTGTAATAGCGCACCGTCTTTCGGATGAGACGTTTAAGCCGTTGGTCTTGTGTGCATTTATGGCCCATGTGCACGTTAAAGAACACATTACACTCTTTGGAAAAGAATAGGGGATTGTCTCCCAGTGTACTACCCAATCACCACCAGAGGGACCCCACTGGAAATAAGTCTTCTAGACTTTCATGGGCTATCCTTGGTGTTTACACCGAATAAATCCAATCCAATCCACACTAAATTATTATTATTATTATTATTATTATTATTATTATTATCATTATTATTATTATTATTATTATTATTGTCTTTCACTATTATTTCCATTTTTTTTACTTTTTTTAGGGTTATCTTGGGACAAGTTTTCCTTATTTTCTAGAAATAAACCGAATCAAATTCAAATTCATTTGTCTATTTTCGTATAACATGAAACTATATTGAGTTACTATTATTGATAGATTGATCTGATTATCCATTTCCGTTTATTTGAACTATATTTTTACTATTGATTATTAATTTTTCTATATATTGTTATACTCAATTGATTGATGATTGATTTGTTACATTGTTGTATTGATTGATTGATTTGATTTGATGGAATAATTGTTATTGAAATCTATGGTGTCTAGCACTTTTTAGACATTTTCTAATGCAAGTAAACTGGCAAATAACAGTACACATTGAACAGAAAACAACATTGAATAGAATAAATTAGAGTAGGCCTACAGTATCAAACCTTTGTCAGTCCCAAGATACACAAAAAGCAACTAAGGTTTAAATTTAGCTAACATTATCAATTCTATGATTTCAGTAGATAGTTCCAATTTGGAACATGAAAATTATCAACTACATCTATTTTACATGATAAAAACATGAGTACTTTCGATGTACTAGTCTTGTAGAATAATTAGGAGAAACAGATATCACTTCAGGCAAGGCTTTTTTATGTTTTGTTTTCTGAACCTGCCTCACACCGATAACGATTATTTCAAATCAAAATAAGCTTTTATTTTTGTTGTGTTCACACCTGCTCTTGTGAAAAATTTTAGAAAAAAACATGCTTGCTTTCATTTTTTTCGCATCTGCCGCCATTATAATATCACGATAAAAATATGAATATTTCCCTCACAGTAAAAATAAATAAATATAAAGCAATCTTTTTAGTGACAAATTCAATGTAAGCTCGAGTGAAGACCAAAGGGTGCCCTCATTTACCTCCAGCACACTCCTTCATGTTTTTGTTAGAACTATTTTGCTAAATATGAATATGATTTTTTCCCCCGACTTTTTCTGCAGATCTTTAAAAAATATAATTTGTTTTAAAAAAATGTAATATTAGAGACTGGATAAACATTTATTGGGACACAATATTTTGTTTACACATTACACTTCTTTAAGAGAACGGTGTAAGGAAACTGTCTCAATAATATTTGTGCAAGTCTCTTAAAGTTGTATTGAAGTATTAATCATTATTCATGGTGCATCCACTGTACATTAAACACACAGTATCCATGGTAATAACATGAACAGTACAAATGTCAGATAAAGACAAATGTTTGTTTAACCTTCATAGGCAATGTATCAATTAAAAACGCATGCGTATACTGATACAGTATACATATAAAAAATAATCAATTGCCAACACACGACAGTACATTATATGTAGCTGTTTTAATCATGGTAGTAGGCAAAACTTATTTATACTGTACCTGGCTTAGCAGAACCTGTCGCCCACTTATAACGATGATTTCAAATAAAAATGCAATTTTATTTTTGCCAATTAGCATACCTGTCGCCACGAAAAAAAAATTTTTGAAAAAGATTTTCTTTATTTTTTATTTACTCCCAATGCTGTTGTGTAATCTAGAAAAAAATATGTATATTTCTTCCTAATTATATAAATTCAAGGCATTTACCCATTCCATTAACGTTGTTTACATTCACCAAAAAAATTGTATTTTTATTATTTTCCTCCATCTGGATGTTTCTGGCAAAAATATATGCTAAATAAGAAACAAAATTTTATTTTTATATTTATTTCCGCCCTTCTCTAACGGTCTTTAAAAAAATAAGTTCGCGAAACAAGGTATGAAAAATGTCTCGCCTTAGAGTTGTAGGTGGACATGGTTAAATCCTGCCAAATAAAGATGATTTTTCCTTACTACTAAAAGGCTCTCTGGGCCTCATAAGAGACTTTCATTTGTAGAGATTTATGTGTACCATACTGTATGTATAGTGAAATGTATTGTTTTTATATTTGTTTATTATTATATTATATTATATATATATTTATTTAATTTTTTTATTATGCATCTGATCTTTTACACTTGTTTGTAACATTCCTTTGACTTTTTTTATAGGGTGCCAGATTCTTGCAGCTCCTGTTTGTCTAGGACTTGTAGTAGGTGCCGGTGGCCTAGTACTGACATGCAGTGCAATAGCCCTACCAGTCTATGGGGGATTCAAGCTTCACCAGTATATCAAGGCCAACAAGAGACGACGTAGACTACAGAAGTTTCTTCAAGCTAAGAAACAGCAACAACAACAACAACAACCACAACAACAGCAGCAACAAAGCCAACAACAGTATCAGCAACAACAGCAACAGCATCATCAACAACAGAATTCAATACAGGGTATACATCATTTCTTTTGAAGATTAAGTGTTAAATTGGAATGCACGTTAATTGTTCAATACATGTCATGTATATGAATAAAGCTTAATTAAAAGTTTCTTTAGATCTAATGAATCTTGTATATAAAATTGATATGATGAAATATTGAAATATGTATTGCCTGTAATATCATGAATATAGAGTAAAAGTCTAATAGTACTACTCTAAATATGAGCATATGTTGATTGGTCTACAATATTCTAGACATATCCCACACACAGACACGCCATTTCACCACACTCCTCGTACACCCCATCAAAAGACTCATAACCTTTGCTCTATGCTTTATTTTTAATTATACTCAGAGCCATTGAAAGGTAGAACTTAGAAGTTATTAATATGGACTTCCCCCATTACCTCATATTCTTGGGGAAGATGGAAGTGCTAGGGGACACTCCTCAGTCATTATGATAGAGGGATAAAAAAAGGCATTTATGAACACCCCTCCCATTTCCATAGGGTACACTCCTACCCCTTCCTTGGTGTAAACGCACTCTTCAGAGATAACATGAAGAGACAATGTAGCCCTATATTCTCATGGGATAGAATGTTCACTGCCTCACTCTCTTGGGATGAAGGGGGAGTGGGGACACTTTACTTTATTTCTAAAGATGAGAGAGTTCCCAGCACCTCAGTATTGGTCTCACAAGGAAGTTGTATACAGTTATACAAGAATTAGCATTTCTAAGTCCATATACATGTACGATGTATTTAATCAAAAACAGCTTCTAGTTTGAGGTTCTGATGGAGTTTGTCCCCATATACTCCCATCATTACTAGATGGTCATGCTAGGTAATTGGAATTTAACATCAAAAAATTTGATTCAATACAGTGAGTAATTGTAATAAGATTTAATATTAACAATTCAGAATCTTGCATTTATAGCTTTGAACAATATCATAAACGGAACACTATGTTGATAGGTATCATATTTGCTTTTCAATATTACGGAAGCTAAATAAATATTACTAGCAATATAACAGTAATTTGAACATGTAAATATGTGTAATGGATTATGAATATCATATCAAATGTGAATATTTATTTCAGCTTATGGATATTAATTGCAATCTGTGAATATTTATATCAGCTTATAAATATTTATAGCAACATGTAAATATTTATATTGTGATTTATGATGAGAACTATCTTTCTTGTTAGCAATGATAACTTGATAGAATTGAAAATTAATGCATTGACTCTCATTTAAGAGTTATTGAGACATTCTTTTGATGATCCAAACAGTAACCATGGCAATGATTGTTTCAAAATGTGCGGAGCATAAGCATGGAGTTATAAAAAATTTAAATAAATTTATGAAATAAATAATATTATATTACCATACAAAAACAACCATAATTCAGGTTATAAACATTATACACTGTATTTATTGTCTGTTGAAGTTTACTTTAAGCCTTCATGAGTTCAAAGTTCAACAAATTGGTGAAGGCTTGCAGTATCTTCAGTACCTAGTAGCTCACCTGTAAAATGGTATAGTTCACTATCCCAGAAAACATTTATGTAATGATTGTTATGAAAGACTTGGAATGATCACATAAAGGACTACACTTCGCCCAGGCAAACCATTACTATCAGTGGAATTCTGTTCCGCTTTCTTTTTGCAATTCGCTACTTTTACTTTCTAATTTAAAAAAAAAAACATTAATGTGTTATCTTTACCTTATTGTCCTCAAATTTCTGTTACATACTATGGACAATTAGGAACAAACTTTCCAACTGTATTAGTATTTTCTTTATTTTTCTAAATTCAACAATTAATTATCACTTAAGCCCTTTGGTCATTAGTTAAGATTCCGACTTGGAAACAGCCAATAAATCATGTTATGAATATTTATGTTTGATCTCAATCATGGATTTTTTTTTCTTATATAAATATTGTAATTCTGATATGAAAGGTAGCATTCATTATGTGTTTTTATGCTATGAGGTATGCTGCAGGTATTTTATTTATCAATGTGCAGACTAATGACTTTTGAATGGCCTCTAGGCATGGAAACTCATATAGCATTTCAGTTGTATGGCTTCTTGTACACCTCACTGCAACTTTAATGAGCATCCAAGAAACATTATGACGGCAATGCATTATTGCTTAGAAGATGTTGACTTCATGAAATGGATTTCTTATGCAAGTTCAGGTGACAGGGGATTGGTGCTTACAATTTGTACAAGAAGAGAATAACATACTGATGAATTCCAATAACAATCATGATACTCGGCTATCTTGAAGGTAAATTTATGAACTGGAAACTGTTTTTTTAATACGTTTGGTTTCCTGCTGGACTTAATAACTGACCACAGAATTGATTACAAAAATTTAAAATTGTATTACTTAAAGCCAAATATTTGTTTAAAAAACATGTGACCAGGTGAATCTTCCTTCAAGGAATAAACAGTATTTTTTTTCATATATTTTTTTGACAGATTAAAATGTATTAACAGTTACACAAATTATGACAATAAGGAAATGATGAGAGAGATACAAATGTAAGACAGACAATCACAATAGTCAACTAAATCATGGATACTTTTCTACCTGGACTTTTCAAATTAAATATAAACATAAATATATTCCTTCAAGGAATAAATAGTTTTTTTTTTTTCTTATATTTTTTTTTTTGTTGGCAGTTAAAATGTATTACCAGTCACACAAATATATGATGGGATACAAATGTAAGACAGATAGTGAACTAAATCATGGATACTTTCCTACCAGGACTTTTCCAATTGAATATAAACATAAATATTTCACAAAAATATTGAAGTTATTATGTACAGTATGTGTTAAAAATTAATGTTGATACAAAAAATATAAAAATATTGAGATTTAATATATGAGGATACATTTTTAATATTACATATTATTCTATTTTCCAAATGAAATTAAATTAGTCTTATTTTTTATGCAATACACTTTTTTACACATTGTTTTAATATATTATTATACAATTATCATTTACTGAATTAACCTTATTGTTTGATTTATACGACCCCAAATGTCAATGACTCACTACTTATAAGATTTAGAAATAAATCGTATATAGACAGAAGATTTTATTTTAATTGTAAGGAGAAAATCATGGCGTTTGGAGGATTAAGAGATTGGAGTTTGCATTTGACCAGGTTTATATTGTGAAGTGCATGTACAAGAATGTAAAATAAATTGTTATGAAATAATGGACCATCTCGCTTAAGCACTACCCCTTGAATTGTATTGCCAAGGTCCTAAAAACTAGCATAAACATATAAACATGTGTTTGTGGAAGATGTGCATATTCCTGGCTTTATTCTGATTGGTTAGTTTGATGGATACTCCAGAAAGATCCATTATACAACTTTCATGCGTGGAAGCATGTGACACAGTGGTAAAGGCTGTGCTTTCAATTAGAGGATATGAGTTCAAATCTTACATTATTCACATTGCTTGAAACTACCAGACACTATTTGCATTTATCTCTTGCCCTGGAGTATAAATGACTGCCTGGTAGCAGGTGAATGATTCGGAATGGAATTAGTCTGGTGTTTGCCTGACTGAAAATGCTCCGAATGTCCAATGAAGACAGAAACTAAAAGGAGAAATGCACTACGTATGTAAACAACTATAATTGTTATGCTTAATGCATCTTCTGGTTGGAACTATTGATACTGTGTATCAAATTTTATAAAGCATACCCACATTTTGACAATTTCTCAACGGTTTTTATCAACTTTTTAAAAGTACAGTAATGTTTGTAATAAAAAAAAACCAGTAGTTCACAGTTCAATATGTAAAGTTACAGTCTCATGTTTTCATATTATGGTGGCTCATTTAAATATTCAAATGAGGTCTTCATGCCATATTTAATGTATGTCATTTAGATCATATCTATACGCTTCTATTCAAGATGTTTTGTACATGCATATATAAGGACAGATCACATAGACAATTGATTCTTTGTAATAAGCGAACCAAAACAACTTCACAGATGGTGTTAATATTAAATGAAAGCTATAACATGTATGGTTTTTATTGTATTTGATTGAGTTTTGAGTAAAAACTGAATGTAAACAAAATAAAAAATAAACTACAGTAGCTATACAATATGAGATACTGTAGCTAAAATACGTATGGAGAATGGGGAATTGTAACTTATTAAAATAAAAAATGACTTTATAAAGATCATGACATTCAGATGGTATCCAGGTCCCTATTTGGCATTTTGACTGCAGGCCCACCATTAGTTTTGCATTTCTTAATCCCAGGGTATAAATGCCTACTTTTCCCAGCTCCCAAATTCAACCCAATTTTATGTCATTGGAACTAAAATATTATTTAATGATCATATGTTGTGTTGGATCATGATAATTGAGAATGTATAGTATTAGTATTAATAAATCAAGCATTTGTATAGCGCCAATATCCACAGCAGAATGCAATGTTCAGTGGCGCTATGTCAATGGTATTTACTGACTGAGGTTAATTAACAATGCTTGTAACTTAAAACTAAAAAACAGAAAACAATTTGCATGTGTCACAAAACCCAGAATGAGACGGAGAAGAGATAAGATTTAGATACCGACAGAAAATGAGGTTTTGATCTCAAAAGGAAGGAAGGAGTAGATTGTTTGAGGAGATTAGAGATGTATTGAGAGCATTATTATGTTATAAGTAATATCATAGATATGCGTTCCTTGATTTTAAGCCAATGTAGTTTTTTTAAGAAAAGGGCTTAGTTAAAACTGTCTCGGTTTTATACTGAATGTACTGGTGTCTCATAATAAAAAATAAAAAAAAGAAGCAGCCATAGGAAAATTATGTAAAAATTATTAATAAGAAGTTATCCTTTTGCCCAATGTGATCTTTGCATGATACTCTATCTTTGTCATCGGTATAATGATCCCAGCTATACCCAAAAGGACTTATTTTCAAATACTGAGTTTACTATTACAGTGAAATGTGTTTGTTGCATTGAGGTATGTATAATATACAGAAAAAAATTATTAATGATGCACACAGACCAAATCCCCAAAAACACCAAGTGTTTATTTTTCATCAAAGAATAGCAGAGGGCAGCAAATTTTTAGAAATGCCCTGAACATGTATCTTAAGAAATGCACCAAAATGCTAAATATTTTATAAAGGCACCTAATGATGTGCAACCTCTTAATTACCATTTTAATGTGAATTGTGGAAAGACCAAACACTTTAAGCTATCGAGACACTAATTTTTCCAATCAAATTAACTTAAAACTATAACAATTTCATATCATTTTTGTAAAGAGCACCGACATGCTTTACTAAAACCAACCAATGAGCAATCCAGCTATTATAGGATTGAAAAACATAAATCGTAACAACCAAGCTCCACTCAACAAATTAATAGGCTAGAAACGTGTTAACATTTATCAAACCTTTGAACGTTGCGACGCACACCAACAACCTGACCTCGCTCGCGCTTTTGGAAACTGCATAAACAGGCAAGTTAATTTGTTAGATGATCTGAAAATTGAATTGAATTTTAATAATTCAATTTTCAGATCATCTAACAAATCAACAGGCAAGTTGATTTGTTAGATGATCTGAAAATTGAATTATTAAAAATTATTGCAAGAATCATTATTTTTAAAAATAATCTTTTTTTAAATGCCAAAAGAAACTTGTGTAAACTGGTACGTCACTTGGGCTTCCCAACATGGCGCCGGTGGCTTCACTCTTGTCTGTACAATGACTGTCCGATGAGCAATCCAGCTAATTATAATAGTGGTCAATGCATTTAATTTTGTATTTCCCATTGTTGGGAAAAAGTTTGACTAGGACAATGTACACATATATCATCAATTACAATATGCAGTTTTACTCCAAATGATTGCCTGTTTCTAAAGATAGCATGTCTAAACAGGGCCAGCCTGCCTGCTTCCTAATACCTTATAAAAAAAATCAAATCTGTAATAAAAGAAAAAGAGACTTAATTCAGTTCAAGTTCAAGTGAAGTTTACAAGAACCTCAAAATATATTCTTATAGCTACATAACTATTATGTCAATTATAGACAAAACAAATAGTTTTTTGTCTGTTTTGTCTACCTATTAGTAATAGCTATATAAACTACATGACAAGTGTAGATAAAAAAAAAAAAATTTTTAATTAACAAAACAAAAACATATACGGTCTCTATCCAACTAATGACAACTGTTAAAGAGTGGGGTTATCTTTAGCAGTTTTGGTCTCCAATTAGAAAAAAATAAATAAATAAAAGATAATGGGCTGCACTTTTTTTGGAGGATCATTAATTAGAGGGAGACCTGTTTTTTTTATACCAGATATGTGAAAACAAGAGTAAATTTCAGAAATCTCTAGCACCATGGAAAAATTAAAGCATATTAACAGGTTACCAGGCACTTCTCAACAGCAATGGCGCAAGCATGAATGTGGTTCCAATGCAACACTATATCATTTAGGTGCCCTCGTTTATTTGCTGAACAGCCTTTGACATGTAGCAGCATAGAAGTAGTAGAAGAAAACCCTCCCAAGCTATGGAGCATAATACAATATGTACTGTATACATATGGTCTATATGTAGACAATTTACCAATTGGGCTTCTGAACCTTTTCTGGTTAATTTGAAAATATACATACATCAACATATATGATAAATACATATATAGAAATATGTGTATGTATGACCATGTATCAGTTTTTTACTAGACAAGATTGCACACTTCCAAATTTGTGAACTAGTGATTTAAGTAGATCAATTTGTCCCAATAAACCAAGGACTTATAAATGTACCAGGGTAGGAAGCTCGCTGATCATGCACTGCAGGTCTCTATCGTTTTGTGCATGTTGTTGTCCTTAGGCAAATTCTGCACATGCTCAAAAGTATATTGAGAAAAGCATGATGGGATAAATCTTATCTCTCCTGTATTAACCAAGGAAGGTCTTAAAATAAATAAATAAATATTAACATGTGAGCAATATATTTTCACTTTATATAGGTACTGTATGTAGTAAATATACGGATTATTTTAAGCACTGGATAATTAGGTTTCATGCTCCTATATAT